AAATGATAAAGAACAACACAGTACAAAAGTAGATTTCCGAACACGAGAACGATTCTGTATCAGCAGCGATTTGACGACGACTAACTAAAAAGGTTATGCTGCCTAAGCAATATGGCTTTGTGGTACACTGTGGTCCATAATATATATGGCTGAACTTAAATTGATAATATTAAAAGCATTTTGATTATAGTCTTATTCTAACAGTAAGGTATAAAAAAAATGAATCTGCCCCAGGCAATTGTTGATGAATAATTTGCGAAAAACAAGCCAAATACTTTCGTCGAATATGAATCGGAGTAGATAGATTACCAATTTCAAAACACATGGCTCTCAAGATTGCATGTTAACAACGATTATTTTAGTTTTGATAAGATCAATGTCATACCTAGTAGATTTCCTATTAATTGAGCTGATCAATGCTAGATTAACACAAAACGTTAAATCAATGGCATTATCAATATTACAACATGACGTCGCGCTACTATTTCTGTATGGATTAGGTTGCTAAAGCGGAATTGCGATTATGAAAAAAATGAATTTATTGTTCTCGTGTTGAAATGTGCTTTGTCTACTTGGTCTATTATTAGACTAGAACCGACCAATTACTAATTGCTCATATTCCGGTGTATACCTATCAAGCCAATGAACCGGTTTGCTTAATTTGCATTATGGAAACCTAGTTTTACAATCTAAACGCGCGCATTGCCTACTAAGTTAAGCGGAATTCGCAAACCGTGCCGAAAAAAAACCGTCAGCAATTCTCCTTGGTACCGTTCAATTTTAAACTGCTTCAATTGTTATTAAGCAAACATGCAAACCACGGAGATATGAAACTGTTGTTAGCAAAAACTTGGAATATTTTCCCGTATGCAGGATTTGCTAATTTAGTCACATGAATGATACAAAAACCTTCTACCGCATAGCAGAGCCATTAATTAATTCTGCAATGACTAGGCATAACATATAAGTAATCTGTTAATTGAGTGACATGTTTGGCAATCCATGATGATAAGTAAAATAAACAGACCATAAATAGTGAGCACGCTATTGAACAAAAGCGGTAAAAATTGCATGGGTAGTTGGTGAAACTCGGCCGGCAAAAAATAGGTATGTCGCCATTTATCAATCGGTTAAGAAATGACATAATGTGGGTTGAATTTTCTTTGTTCAGCTCTGACCTTCAAGAGGTTGAACCACAGTTGAGATTTTTTCATTATCAATAAGTACACACAGTGGCATTCCCCGCTTTTAAACGAAAAATCCGACATGTTTTGAAGAAAATAGCGACACATTTGAATAAACGACCCCAATCGAGGAACTCACCACGAAAAACCCCACTTCTGTCCAGTGGCTACTAGTTAGTCACAAAAACATACACCAGTGAATAGATGAAAGGCTAACAAATCGTCACTTCCTCGAAAGTTCTGCGAACCACCGTAACACTTCCTGCTGGAATCAAAACGCGATGCAGCCAGCCGTGCCCTCTATTGATTCCACCCACCCGCACATACTCTGATCTAACCAGGAAACCGAACATCCAACTCTATCAAGCAAAGGAATTCGAGAATTGGTTGGTATTAGTAGATTTTTGGACAACTTTGAAAAGAAAGAACACGTACTCAAAGAACTGAAATGCCGCTTTCGATTCCGAAAAGGACAGTATTGCAGCAGAAACAGCAGTCGTTCCTGCGAAGGGGGGGCATGAGGGCGCGCCTGCAAACCGGTCTTAAAGATGCGCGGGCGCTTATGAACAGTTTATCATCCATCCGTACCGAGTGTAGGTTTTAGGTGTCTGTTTCTAGTCTGGGCAACAGCGTATGATCAATTTATTCTAATTGAATTACGATTTACGCTAAAAAAAAGTCTAAAACGAAACTAAGCAACCTTTTGCGTCCAGTATTGTACTCACCCAAACGTCGCCTGTTTGCTGTGTGTGATTGTGCGTAAGAAACTACATATAAACTGACCAACCCTGTTCACTTAATGAATATTTCTATATACTTTCCTGACTGTGTTTCAATTCCAAATCAAATTCATTCCTGGGTTTCAGTCATTTATTGTCTCTATTTATCAATCAAAATACGTTTCGGTGTATTTTTCCACCATCATCAGTTTTTATGTGTAGCGTTGTTGCTGCTTTAAGCCTTGGCA